CTCATATTTTACATACATATATGTTAGAAACCTGCTAGATCTACTATCAAAACCATTTGTTCACCAGAATTATTGCTTTTTCACCAAAATTAATGATTATGTAATTACAGCAATTTAATTACTTATAATACTGAATTCGATCAATACCCGTGTGCGCATGCAATTATATTAAGGCATATAATTTAATTTAATTCGTTTTTAATAAATAAACAAAACAAAGTATTTCGTTCACTCTTACCTTGCATCAACACAATGTATTGTCCAACACATTTGCTGCTACTGCTGATGATGCCACTCATGCTGCCGCCGCTGCTACTATTCCCACCGCCACCCATCAAACCGCCAGAGGCATGACTGAGCCCGGTGCGTAGCAGTGTCTTTGTGGTCTGTGTGCGCAACTCGACGATGAGTGGCTCTTCATCTGTGGCCGGTCGAGCCAGCGGCCAAATAAACGACTAAAAAGGAAGACATAAAAGGTAGAGGTGAAATACCATAGAAAAGGAATTGTGAAAATAAATACCGTAGAGAATCGCAACAAATTCGGCATTCAAGCCTGAACAAGTCTTTTGTTGAATTGTGCATATTAATCGAATACAAAATAGAATGCATACTTATGTATAATACTATGACTTGCAATTATTTTCGTAAAATCTGATAATAAAACTTCCTTAGTTCAAAAGCCACATCATTGGTATACAAAAGGCACTTATGGTAATATTGGGTATTGAGTTGTTTTTTGTTTAAATCAAAAACAGAACTTTGTTGTTAATTGGTTTCATAACAATTTCTATTTTCCGACAGCACATAAAATTTAAAATTAGTTTTCTTAATGAAAAAAATATGTCACGAAAATATATCGTCCCCTAATATGCAACTTTTCATAAGTTTCGTTTCATAAGTTTACAGATTCCTTCATCTGTACGAGATAATTGAAACGAAATTTGGAAATTCGAAGTTTTGGTTATAAAATAGTTACATATGTATATGTTGTTTTTCGTTTTAGATGTTGATTTGTAGGTATCAACTATTTCTGATGCCGAAACCAAAAAAAAAAAATCTTTAGACTCGACTTTTACGGATGCAAACATAAAAAACTCTACAAAGTACTATACGATGACCATAAAGAGGTCCATTGAGATTGCTGGCACCTTAAAAGTAAAGAAATATGTGGGTAGTTCTATTGAAAGAGAGAGCTCACGATCAACAGATTCCTTGTATCACGAAGATTTGAAAGCGGCAGCAGAATCGCATTCTAAGAATTACGTAGGCTCTAACGTTTCCTACAGATGTGCCTCCCTGTCGTGAGAACTCAATCGCTGGAAAGCAATCGCCGACACTGAGGCTAATTTTAGCGTCAAACATATGTACTATATGTACGACATAAACGACGTCGAAAAATGGGAATATCACTCTCATATATCTGTATCGTTCTCAAATCGGTCTTATTGCGGGTTTTTTTTAAGGTAGAAATTTAGTTTCCGTCATACTATACCCATGCTTGACAAAGGGTTTATTTCAATGTAGTGTACACTATTCTGCCACATAACATACATATATTATATATCCACATTTGTAACGTAAGTGTACTGAACGGAGTCAATTTGATTCTCTTTCCGATGAAATGTACAATTTCTGTCACAAACAACAAATCAGTGGCAGCTATATTAAATTACCTTTATTTGCTTTGATTTCAAATAATGTGAATGGGGAGATGTGTGTTGGCATGTATGCGAGCTATTTTTGTACCTTTCCCACACATCTTTACGGCCTTAACATGAAGTGGAGCATTGACGAAATCCGGAAATGAAATTCGGCCCTCATTCAAAGCACATTCATGCAAAAGATTCAACGGCAAGCTCTCGTATTTTACGTGTCTTCAAGGTTATTATGAAAATCAAGCGGAGGAGAGGTGTTCGTAGGTGGAAGCGTTCTGTGCAGCTTATGATTTCTTTTTATGTTGGATTTTAAAGATCTATTTCGATGCAAATTAATTACTTTTAAACATTTTCGTTTGAAATTTTGAGTTTAAATTTTACAAGAAATAGGAAGTTATTAATTTTTGTTGGAATGTTCAGTGGGAAATTAGTGTTCAGTATAATATGTTTATACAAGTATAGTCTAAAAACATTTATTGAAGTCGATTTAATAATCAAAGTAAGGGATTACACTTATTTGCTGAATTCAAAAAAATGTGTATTTTAGGGAAAATTACATCAGCAAAACAATAGAAAACAATTTAAGAATATTAATTGCAGGGAATTATTTATAACCGCTAACAGATGATCCAATGATGATGATATCGAACTTTGGAAATCTAGCTTACAATGAAAAACTGAGAATTAACTTTTTATTTATTTCACGATTTTAACGGTAATATAGATAGAGTACAAGTAAATGATACTTACATTCACTTTATCTATGGAATTATTACCTATTTGCGGCATTAAAAAATAAATAAAATAATACTCTTCGACAAACTGGATTCTTGTGGAGAGGATTTGGTAGTGTCTTTAACGAACTCGTCCTTACTTTGTTTCCAAAGGACGTATATACCACATTGTATCAAGTTTTTTTCAACTCGTCTCGTCACCCTGATCATTTGTATATATACATACATATGTATAACGCTATATTTCTACCTCGATTAATTTTAGGTGATACGTACAACCGTTAGATGAACAAAGCTATAACACTCTGCATCAACTTTTTGGAAGAGTATAAATATAAGATTTTATAGTTATAGTTGACGTGAGGGCGAGACACTCAGTTTTGTGTCGCCTTAGCTACCATTGTTACTAAATTTCAGTGAGCATTCTTTACAATCTGGAACATTATACGACAAATTGGATATGTCACCGAGAAACCAACAGAGCTCAGACAACAGTATATTTTTTAATGCCAAATTCTTTTTATCCATTTGTTTCCAAAAACAAGAAAAAACGTTAACTTCAGTTGCACCGAAGCTAAATACCCTTCACAGGTGCATTTCTGTTAGTAATTATGTGCTCAGTTTGTATGGATATAGCTTCCATCTCCAGCTATAGTAATCCGATCTGAAAATTTTTATCGGAGATTATATTATTACCTTAAGCAGTAATCCATGTTCAATTTCGTGAATATACCACGTCAAATGTGAAAGTTTTCCATACATGAACTTGATTCCGATTGTTCAGTTTGTATGGCAACTATACGCCATAGTTAACCGATCTAAACAATTTCTTCGTAGATTACATTGTTGGCTCAGGAAATTATCTGTACCAAATTTCGTGAATATACCACGTCAAATGTGAAAGTTTCCCATACATGAACTTGGTTCCGATTGTTCAGTTTGTATGGCAACTATATGCTATAGTAATCCGATCTGAACAATTTCTTCAGAGATTACATTGTTGCCTCAAAAAATAATCTATACCGAATTTCGTGAATATATCTTGTCAAATGCAAAAGTTTTCCATATAAGAACTTGATTCCGATCGTTCAGTTTGTATGGCAGCTTGATGTTATATTGATCTGATATCGGCAGTTCCGACAAATGAGCAGCTTCTCGAAGAGAAAATTACGTTTGCAAAATTTCAAAACGATATCTTAAAAACTGAGGGACTAGTTCGTATATATACAGACAGACAGACAGACATGGCTAAATCGACTCAGCTCGCTGATCATTTATATATATACTTTATAGGGTCTCCGACCCTTTCTTATGGGTATTACAAACTTCGTGACAAACATAATATACCCTGTTCAGGATATAAAAACTATTTATGCATACGTGTTTTGAAGCTTAGGTCTAACCACAAAACATACGGATTTAATTCTATGGACGTCCCTCATAGAAAACACGTGCATTTTTTAGGCTGCTGGTAATTCGGTTCATTAGCTTTATTGCCCTTCGGAAGAAATGTACTTCAATATGCCAGATATTCATTATCAAAGAATTCTCGCTATTTGGGCACTTTTCATTTCCAAGTATCTTTCCTCTGCAAAAGAAATAAGGGTAACGTGCCAAATTCGTCATAATGTTATTTATTTTTTTCGGCTTCGTGCAATTTTTCGACCTTCAATGCGGTTTTCAGCTATTCGGCTAGAGAGGCATCTGGTTGCTGTAGAAGAAACTAGGAATTTCAGCTTGTGGTTTGTGGTTATGTTCAGGCCAAAAGGACATAAATCACAAATATTGGCAGAAGGTTATACAAGAAAATACCGCCTGCTGCTGAAACGCACTTAAGATTGATTTACAATAATACAAATATTGTTACATAACGAGATTAAGTTTTTTATTTAGGAAAGTCAAGCTGATTTACCGTAAAACTGATTGCTTGACACACGAAACGTGCCTGCCTTTAGAAAAAAAGTTTGAGCAAGTGAGCGTTAAATTGTGTTATTTGTTGGAATGTGTACATTATGAAAACGAAAACTGTGTTTAAAGCACTGTAAGTTTCTCTACAAATTATAACAAAAAAAAAAAGATTTACATACCTGATTGACATCTATAATGTTTGAGTCTGCACTCAGCTCCGATGTAATATGAGCAACACCTGCAATAAAAATAAAAGTATGGTGGTTTAAGAAGAATTTATGAGATGTACATATGTATTTTTGTGAAAACTACTTTTAATTGAGATTTTAGAATTAAGTAAACTTTAAGTCAAAAGTCTCTTTCTAGAGTTCTTTTAATATTTATGACTTTCAGCACTACAAGTATGGATATGTGTGATCTGCTGTTTCAATTAGAATACTTGAAATACTTTACCCCAAAAATAGCTAAAATGATATTAAAATATTTTCAATCAGTATTTAACTGATATTTAATTATTAATAATTAATGATGGAACACCAGGGAATCTCCAAGTTAATTTTTTATAACTCTTAATGAGCTTCACCTGTATTTTTATGTTTTTTCCCTTGGCACTAAAATGCAAGAAAATATATTTCAGAGGTACTGTCACAAAACAGTCAATAGTTTGAGAAGCACTACAAAAAAATATCCCTAAAACTATGCTACGTCAAAAGCATAAACTAACAATTTATTTATTATTACTTGAATTCGAATAATAAATTTATTAAAAAACATCCTTGCAGAAAGTGAAATCACCCCGTGGAGTTAAACGAAATGCTTTCTAAGCATTTGAAATTAAATAGTTAAAGATACATCTTCATATAAAAGACAGTAATATTGACCGAAAAATGCTTGTATCATTGTGAGAAGGGGATGGGGTGCTTTCTTTATGTCCTCTCTCAGCTCATACGAAGAAACTTGAGGCTGTTGTAGTGAGGTCCTTGACTAACTTTGAGTGCACTGCTCAAAGGCCGAATAGCCTCTCTGCATTCGGTTAAAGCAGACTCTTTCAAAGGAAAACTGCCTTGTGGGTTTGTAGGTGGAGAGGAAACCACGCGTTAAATGTTGTTCGTTTTCAAATTACATTTTAATATGTGAATTCGGGTTTCAGTTCAAGGCCTTTCATTTCGACATTACTTAATTATTCGATTTAAGGAAAAAATACAATCGATTTTAAAAACGAATCACTTAGTTTGTGTGTGAATGTGAAATACTGTATAATTAATTTTTGTAAAAGTATAAAAGTTAAATCAAATTCATAAGTACGGCTATTTCATATGTGAATAAAGCCTCCAAATGTTGCTAAACATAACCATTGTGTATAACTTGTAAAGCAATGATTTTATGGATATTTTTTGTAAGTTGTAGATCAATGGCGATAATCAAATATACCGTAGCTCTAAGAAGTGTGAACATTGCTTATCACTTACTCTGGCCTCGTAAATCAAATACTAGCATACTATATATTGGTTTATACTGAGCAGATCGGTGAAGTAACTAAAGGAAATTAAGTTGCTGAGTACCAACAATGGATGAAATCGATTCTGTTCTTAATAATTATTCAACATAGTTTTAAGAAGCTCTTATAGTTGGTTATAATGTTGAAACTTTCTTTTCATTTCTCTTTTGCAAACTATTTTCAGTGGAAGCACTTTCGATCACTCTTTCTATTAGAAATATGTGCTCAGCCAACATCGCATCTTCAATGCGCCGGCAATACAAATCGTTAAATCGCTCATCATATCCATTACGTTTATCTTCACCAAACAGTTTATTATGTGTGGTAAATTGAGCCAATTTTCACCCTCTCACCATTTAGAATCTTCAACAGATTGCGAAATTTTATTAAAACTATCCCCATTCACGTTGCGCTGCACACAAGTTAAGAATTTCATTATACCAACAGTAGCCGCACCACACTTGTTTACATTCAATTTTACGTAACTCACATACATACGTATCTTAAACTTGCCACAGCGCAGCGCCAGCATCGAAAACGAACAAAAAAGTTGTAAATATAAAAAACGGAAAAAATGCCCGCAACTGAAATACGTACAACCGGAAAAAACCAACGGCGCTGTTTACATAGGACATAGTTTGTACATTAGGGTAGCATTTAACCAAAGAACTAAGTTTGAATTTTGATATATTGGCTTAGGACCAACCATTTCTAGCTGAAGTATGAAATTTATCAAAGTTATACAACAAAATTTATGGCCATGCCAACTTTTTAGTACAACTAAGAAATGGTCATAATGGATGCAAAGCATTGCTATTTACTGTAAGGCGATATTTGAAAACCAGATCCCTCCTCTGGGTTGTACGCCAGGCTTCGGACCCGCCCAGTGAAACACGCCCTTAATGGAAAGAAGAAAAGAACCTCGGATTATAGTTCCCCCTTTTGATGACGACCATTGTAAACACATTAAGGAAGAGTAAAGGTCGATATCACCGCCGTCCAAGAAATGCAATGAACGGAACGTGGACTGTGATGAGTAGGTACCACAGTGGCCATATAAGGAAACGCTAATTCGGTGTGAGATTCGTGCAGGGAGAGAGACTCCGTTGCCGAGTACTGGAATTCACCCCGGTGGATGAAAGCTAAGCCACAATCCCCATTAAAGTAAATCGCTGATTTTCGCCCCGAATATAGTTGGACGAAAGCATGCCCGACGATTGGAGTTTAAGTGTGTTCTGCCCAATCCACTAAAAGGAAGATCTCACAATCTGCGCAAACCACCGTGGAATAAGTCTCCTCAACAATGCATATAAGGTTCTATGAAGCATATTGCGTGAAAGATTAAAGCCCACCGTCAACAAACTGATTGGACCTTTACAATGTGACTTTAGACCTGGAGAATCAACAACTCACCGGATGTTCACCATGCGCCAAATCTAGGAAAAGACTTTGAAAAGAAGATCGACACAGGTAAAGCTGCTTTTAAAAGCACGAATAGGAGCTACATTATGCCGCTATGACCGATATTTATACCAAAAGCTCCGTCAGAATCGGGAAGGACCCGATGCTCGGAAGCCGTTCGATACCAACCGAGGTTTCAAACAAGGCGACTCCTATCGTGCGTCTTTTTCAATTTACTCCTGGAGGAGATTTTTCGAGGTACAAAATTATTCGTCTCACTCGCGACTATGCTCCCACGTCAGTGTTGACTGACATAACTAACTATTAAGTTGTAGATAATTTCGTCTATCTTGGAATCAACATCAACGGTAACAACAACGTCAACCTCGAAATCCTCGCGGAATGAGTCTTGTTAACAGTTGCTACTTTGGACTGAGTAGACAATTGAGAAGTAAAGTCCTCTCTCCACGAACAAAGACCAAACACTATAAGTCACTCATTATTCCCGTTCTGATATATGGTGCAGACGATGACAACATCTGATTAGTCAATGTTATGAGTTGTCGAGAGGTTCTGCGGAAGATTTATGGTCCTTTGAGCATTGGCAAAGGCGAATACCACATCCGATGGAATGATGACCTGTATGAGTTTAATTCGACATTGAAATGGTTCAGCCAGGTCATATCGTCCGTATGGATGGAAACATTCCGGGTCTGAGAGAGTGCGATGCAGTACCTGCCGGGGGAAGTAGATGAAAAGGAAGACCTCCACTGAGTTGGAAAGACTCGGAATCTCCAATTGGCGCTAAACAGCGAAAAGGTAGAACGACAAGAGTTTCTTCTCAAGAGAATTTGTCAAAATACGAATTATTTAATATTTTACAAAAAAATTTAATTTTTCCAGAAAATTTCAGATTCTAACTTACCGCCATAAGTTTCTTCGCTCCGTTTTTTCAATAAACTGTTGAAAAAAGTAAATAACAATTGAGAAAAATATAGAATATAGAAGTTTTGTTTGTAGAAAACGAGCCGCCCTCATAGGAAATGTTCATGGTATGACAAAGCATATTTAAAATTCTCTCCACAAAAGCGCAAAAAAATTTCAGTTCTTGTTGTCTTTATTTGAGGCTTGATGTAAATATATTTGCTATATGTATGTCCCCATGTATTAGTCCCCATTTAGGTTGTCATGTGCATACAGTCCTGATACGCATACTCCTTCGGTAGAGTTGATATATAGTATTCTGTGGAAGGCTTGTTGGAGCCGAGGGTCGCCAGTAATTCTGTAGTGCAGCAAACGACAGCTGCATCTCCATATTCTCAATGTCAAATTCATGAAGAGCTGTAGTGAGTTGCCAAGGGCAGCATAGAAAATGGCGCGCTTTTTACTTCTGTGTGGGGGGTGCTGGTGGGTAAACGAGACTAGTTAGTTGGGAGTGGGCGTAAACCTCGCAAATTTCAACTCAACATACGCGCCTTTGTGCGAAGAGGGTTAACTGTGTAGTTTGAGTGTAATTTAACAATTTCAAAGCCCGTTTTATGTCAAGTAAAGCACTGGCTTAAATTTGACAGATCAGGTAAAGTCTTCATAAATTGGTGGAGCTTCCTGTGTACATTATATTAATTGTTTGGATAGAGTATTACAAGGATTCGATGTAAGCGATGTACAGTATATAGTACTGGTCATAATTTATTGGAGGCTTTCCAATATATTGCCATTTATGTACATTCAGATGCGTCCACTGCGGTGGGAGTTTTCTCGAAACTTTTTCAAGTAGTATTACTTGTAAATGCTTGAAGCTTAGTAGAGAAAAAGTTTTTGTGAGAACGAAGAGGAGTACTAGCGTTTGAAGTTCGAAGGCGTTGTGAAGATGTATAATACAGTAACACACCAGCAATATACTATAGATATGAAGTTAAGTAAACTGAAAGCCAAAAAGTGAAATTATCAAACTGGTCTTAACTTTGCTCAACTTAACGTTTTAACAAACGTTACCTTATCATCCAAGAAATACGTATGCATATGGAATGACACTTTCTACGAATACTCTATTTCTAATAAACAGGAAAGTTTTGAAAATCGAGTGTACATGCGTTTCTCCGTTTTCCGTTTTCAGTTTGACTCTATATTGATTGTACATGTAGGATTTGTTCGGAAAGTAATACAACTGAGTCGATTAAAAAAACATTATTCAACCAATAATTGAAAAACTTTCAAAATAGACTCCTTCTGCGTATATGCAGCGCTGCCAGCGCGATTTTGAAGCATTGAAGGCGTTACGGAAAGAATTCTCTGGAAAAGCCTTGAGAGCCGACTTGCATGCTGCTTGGATCCCCTTTTGTCGTCCTTTTCAATCAAGGAAACAAAAAACGTCCGGGGGCCACATCTAAGCTGTAGAGCGTCTGCGGAAGCGTTGGGATGCTTGTTTTGGTTAGGTAGCTGTTCCTCTCGGATCCGATTGATCCTTCGTTTGAGTCCCTTGAGGACTTCAACTTAATACTTGACCTTAACATTTTGCCCAGAAGGAAAAAATTCATGGTCGACGATGTATTTATTGTCAAGAAAGACAAAGAGCACCGTTTTCACTTTGGATTTGCTCATCCATCGGCGACCTCTTCCGGAAGTAATTCTCCTCTCGACGAACAAAGACCAAACTTTACAGGTCACTAACCAGACAGCGGCACCGTTGGCTAGGTCATGTCGTTCAACCCTGAGAGTATTCGATGTAGTACCCACCGGAGGAAGCAAAGGAAGAGGAAGACCCCCATTCCCTTAGAGATACCAGGTGGAGAACTACCTGGCTTCACTTAGAATCTTCAATTGGCGCCAAACAGTGTAAAGTAGGAAAGGCTGGCGCGATGTTGTGAACTCGGCTATAACCGCGTAAGCAGTGTCTACGCCAATAAAGGAGAAGAAGATTTTCTTCAATATACTATTATTGGTTCTAGGAATGATCAACTTGGTTAACTTCATCTCTTGGATCTCGTATATCCAGTATAACAATTTTACAACTCATGATTGCCTTAATAATTACAAATGCAGATAGGTTAGTGAAACTAAATGAGCATTTCCATAAGCGCAACAAGTCATAATCAATATTAGTTATAAGGAAGTTCGAAATGATTTTAGATTACAAATTACGGGAATATCTAACGTGAAGTTGCTGCGGATTTTACTGCTTTAAATGTTTGAATATGTTTTACTCCATTCATTTCTCAACGATCGGAAGGTGGACTTATCGGGTAGGATAAAAAACTAAGAACAGTTCCAATTGTATTACTTATAGATAAGCCGTCCGTTAGAATTCTATTAGCGCTAAATTATTAAACTATTTTAAAATTTGTCACAATTTTGAAGCCTATCCAACTTTTTTGATTCGCCTCCACTTATTTGTTTTTGATAAAATCCACACCTTATTCGATTTACTTAATGTTTATACCTAATATTTTTCCACGTATGTATGTGTGTATGTAGTGAAGGAATTCTTGTCACTTATGTACATATATAAAAATGAACGCATTCTGACATTTATGAAGCGTGGAATATGGCAAAATTATGCTGAAAGCATTTTAGTTATCATACTTAATTTAACACAGTTTTCATTTCAAGCATTCGTGGTATTTTTGTTCGCCCGGTCTAGGCAGAAGAGCTCTCTCCTACGTGGAATGACGCACGTTCAAGCATGTGAAAAAATGTTGCATATTTTCTATAATAACAAATTATATGAGAATGTGGTGGCTTTGAAGCTGTATGGCGAAGTCAACGTGCGGTTATGCACACATATTTGCTTTGTTTACCAAAGGTGTATTAATATTATTTAAAGAGAGAGAACGCACATTTGTCTCACTTATACAAATATTTGTTAAATGGAATTGCGGGCGCGTGACGAAATCAGCATAAAACATAATGTTCGAATACGCGCGCAAAAGCTATCACATAAATTCAGTTATGACTTCACGACAGGATGACACCGTCGTTCGGAAACCACAATTAGAAATATCAGATTTGGACAGGTTATTGGTGGTTATGGGAAGGTGGATAAGATTGTTTAGCGAAACCAGGAGGTTATGTTATTCTGGGCAAATGGAAATTAAGTATTTAAGTCAGTTCGAATTATATTAATATTTTTGCTTCCATCATATATTAGTGATAGAACAACAAGTGTTTATACTTTGTGAGTAAGCCTGAGAGAATGCAAGCTTGTTTGAGTTCGTTACTGTTAGATATCAGCGTTTTAAAAGCATGGGTCCATGATATCATCAGCCATATTTCATGATTCATGCATGACTTTAGATAGATATATGGAAAATAATTGAGGTTTTGCAATGCGACCTATGATCCTGCCTTCTCCTATAGCACATATGGTCACAATTTCAGGAGATTGCTGGAGATGACGTGATCCCTCTCCACGTAAATTAATCCAAGGGCCTTGAATCAGGTGTTTTGCAGTTTCCAGTTCCATGTCGCAAAACCGTTAGTTTTTACAAGAAACTGTGCCCATGATGGACAAGTGTTGATCATATCTTTGCTAAGTTGTAACCTCCCAATAATTACTTGGCGTGGCGCATTTTTGTTGCCTGCTGCCAGTGCCGTTCTCTCCCCACTCTCGCCTCCGTGCTTCGCTGTCTACCTATACCTAAGATGTCAATGGTCAGCTTTCAGTCAGAAATATACCACTTCCAGACCAGCTAAAACTGAACACGAAAAATAGAACTCTTTTGTGAATGAAAGTCATCGCTATTATGCTAATCAGTTTGGATTGTTTTTCAATTTATATAATTCTATAACCCGATCATAAATGTATTTTTCGGACTAGAGTATTCTCAGTTTGAAAATTATAGCTGCCCTTTTGGATGATTTCAAATTTCCATATTAAAAGCAATTTAGATAGATGTCATACTAGAAATATGATCTAACAGGTCTTGGACATCTGAACAGATCTCCATACCTCAAATATGGCACGCCTGGTGATAATATCATATCATCTTCTCCACATTTTTTCTTTAAAATTAAAGATACCATGTTTGTTATTTAGTTGAAAAAGATATTTTTATAAATATTTATAGCTACAATATTTGCATAATTCTAAAGAAGCTGTTGAAAATGTTGTCATAACTTTATATCTATACAAATTTAAATCAACTATTAGATGACATTTTAACCTGGTATTCACTAACAGTTTTTAAAGCTTTGCAATTAAAATATACTCCAGTAAATTGTACTGAAATAATTCGCGACCTAAAATGCAAAATAGCGCAACATTACTTTTCATAAGATTACATGCGGTATAATAGAAACCACTCATAATATTGAAACCAAATTTGGGCTCTGGTTATAAAAATCGTTACATCTGGGATCGGAGGCTTGAAACTTTTCGTGATTACATATATAATATGATGTAGTGAATCATAAGCTTTAAAAAATCATTTTAAATTTTTTTGTTGATACGTTGTTTTGCATTTTAGGTGACGATATGTACATCGGTGGGTTAAGTAAAATTCAGCAGGAGCAAACTTACCTCGAAATTCGACGCGTGCGATTAAATTTGATTTGGTCTTTGGCAACTGAAATTGCACAATTTTTACCGTTAGTGACATTTCGGCTTGCCTTAAGTTGTTTGCTTCGGTGAAATATAATTTTCTTTATTTCTCAGATTTTATAATCTAGTTATTTATACATTTGAACTTAGCAAATATGTATCGCAGGTAAATATTTAAAATATTTTGTATTACATAGTTTTGTTGTTTTGGTGTTTTTGTTTGTCAATTCATCACACAAGTTTTCCATGCTTTAAATTATCCCTTGTAGTTTATTGCTTTTCGTAATATTTGCCGTTATGTTTTATCTATATTATATTTTAATAAAGAGGAATGACGTTGCTATATTTAGTGTAACGATCCACATTTCATATAATTCCCGCGGTAGTACTGTAAATATAAATTAAAGGTTTAAGGTTGGTTAAGAATGACCAAAAACTATCAGCTTTAAAAGATTTATTTATATAAAATATACTTAAAAAAATGTTTTTCAATCGTAGTTATGACATATGTAGGTTGTCTTTTATATTTCGAGGTTTAGCAAACCTAGTGTTGCAGTTTGGCAAGTCACAACTTTCTCGTCGGAAGGTTGAAACAGTCAAGTGCAATTCTTGTACTGGCTGGTGTCACTTCATGACATGTTGCGGCTTAAGCACCACATGTGATTGGAGTCTCTCATAACACTCAACAGTGGCGTCGCCAACCAACACCACAGTGCAACAACCACCCCTGAGGGCTCTAGAGCTGCAGAAAATACCACCTACACGTCATTCCCTCACTCCCATGAACACGCGACAAACCCGCATCTTGCAATTTAACTGCAACGGACTCCAGAGCAAATCGAGGAAATAGTTGTACTCATGAACCGGGAACGCGTATCGATAGCTGCGGTCCAAGAAACCAAACTAAACAGCGAGATAATGGCATAGCCTTCTCAATGCACAACATCGTGCAATATTGTCTAATCGATGGAGATATAGACCGCAGGGATACTATCCTAGAATGTCAGGTTATAGCTATGCGGTCAGGCGGTGTCGAGCTTGAAATATTTAATATGTGTAAACATCCCCCCAGTTACATATTGCATACAGAATATCACCTAAATATAGGTGAGCTACTTCGTGGTGAAAATCGTTTGGTACTAGGCGACTTTAAAGCGCACCACAATCATTGGCATTCCTAGCTGATCGTAGGGGGGTGGAATTGGCGGAACAGATGGACGATTCGACATTCTGCACGAAACCTCCACCAGAATTATGGACATCTGTAATAGCTCACCCGATTTGCTAGCAGTGGTCTGATATATAGCATAACCTGGCGACCTCTTGCATCAGATCACCTGCCCATAATTACATCGATCGAGAAACCACCTTCACCGCTCCACCCATTCCTATTGATGTAACCGGTTGCGAACTTCGTTGATTCCGCAAGCTCATCGTAGCAGCTACCGCTCGGTTCATCCCGGCTGGAAGATTTGCTTAACTCCGCCCTAACTTCCCAGCCAAAGCAGCTGTTTAGCTAGAATCTTAATTTGGAGATTTCGACAACACAAGCGGTCGAAATGGATGGCGCGTTTGAAGTCCCCCAACCTCTCAGTCAGTCACACAACGCTACTACAAAACATTGAAAAAAATACGCTTCCTCCATGACTGAAGAGGTGGGCCATTAACTACCGGTCCTCAATCACTTGTATTGTTTCTAGGAAAAAATTCAAAACTGAAAAGAATTTAACAAGGGGTTCCGCAGGATGCTGTCCTCCCCACGCTATTTTTTAATTTCTATATCTCGAAACTCTATCTATCCGACCTTTTTCTCTTCTTCTCTGAACGAAGCTTAACATGCTCTCCACAGAAACCCCTGCGGTGGTGTTAAGATTCCGACTGTCAATAATCTTAAGATTGTAGGTGTAACTATTGATAGTGTATGCCCCTTCACTTCTCATACGACCGTTATAATCGTAAATATATATATTGTCACCTGGATGCAGTGGAACGCAGACAAGAAAACTTCAGACTTGTTAGAACACTGCACTCCGGATTGCGGTGGGATACTTCTTGATGTCTCCTATCGAACACCTATATAATGAGGCCCAAATGCTCCCTGTTAAGGAGTATAATGAACTCTTCTCCAGATAGTTCCTGCTGAAATGCTTTCGCAGAAATCACCTCTGCAGTCACTCACCTCTGCATTCACCTGCTTGGAGCAGAACCGCCTCCTATAAACATCAAGAGATCATTCATCAATTACGTCGACGATATTAGATAGTTGACCGACCAGACTTCGGACGCAACAAACTTCAGATATGCACTGATCGCCATTCACAGTGGAGCCATTAACATCTACACCGACATTTTTCCAGTGAAAGGCGTTCTTGGAGTCAAAGCACCACCCATCGTGGACGAAGAGCGCCTTGAAACGAGAGTGATCCTTGCTCAGCTTCGTTCTGTATACAGTAGCCAGTTAAATTTCTACTCATACGGAAGAGACCCTGTATGACACTGGCCACCTCTTTGCATGCCCCACCAATCCCACTCACCTAACACTCCTCACTTTGTCCCCACATTTGTCACTTTAATGTTGGATAGAAAAACTTTGATATTTACTTTAAGTTGTTAACACACTCTTGCTATACTTTTGCAACATTCCCTAGGTAGCAAAGAGAAAGTGGATAAGAGTCGCACAAAGAAAGCGCACCGTTAGACATACATCGATGTCAGAGGTTGATAACTCACTTTTCGTTTTTACATTTCGACACAAAGGCAGCTGACTCAATTACTGACACTACACTGCACTGTAGACGTGCTTAAGTTTTTGAGTAACCAACCGTATTTCTCCACATGTATGTATGTAGATATGTAGAGAATTGGCAGTAATACATTTACTTTGGAAGATGTGTGCGAACATATGGCATTCAGACCAAAGCCACAGATGCAGGCAGGTGAGTGCATGACCGATTCCGTGTAAGCAACCCGAAGTTCGATAAAAAAAAAACTTCACATGTCCACAAGGACGATGAAGATGACGCCAACGTTACGCGGACAAGGTTAGTCAATATTGTAGTCCATTTGTGCAGACTCAATCGCCAACCAATCAGGGATTATAGAGAGTTGCTTAGAGAGGCAAACTGAAACTTTTACGCATATTCTTAAAACATACTAGAAAACAAAGAAATTTAAGTTACAAAAAAGTTTACAGTGCCTTCAGGCTATACCATACATTCTGAGATTTAGGTAACATCGAAATAATCATTGACTGTTTACAGCAGACTATTTTTGAAACTACTTTCGAGTCGTAGGATTAGTATCCTCAACATCGTGTATAAGGTTCGAGGTTTCAGACAAGGCAACTCCATATCGTGCGACTTTTTCAATCTGTAGTTCTCCTTTCTCCAGACTGGATAAGTAAGCAAAGCAAATGGGTCTGGTGGTGAACGGGGGCACAACGAAATATCTCCTGTCATCAAATGAACCGTCGTCACACTCGCGACTAGGCTCCTACTTCACTGTTGGCAGTCATAACATCGATCTCGTAGACAATTTCTTCTATCCTAAAACCAGTATTAACACCAACAACAATGTCAGTCTCGAATTCCAACACAAAATAACTCGTGCTAATAGGTGCTACTTTGGACTGTGTAGCGAATTGAGAAGTAAAGTCTCCTCCCGACGAACAATGACCAACCTCATTATTCCCGTCCTGCTATATTGTATAGAGGCATGGACGATTACTTGACGTTACGAGTTTTCGAGAGATTTATGGTATTTTGCGCTTTGCCAACGGCGAATATAGCATTCGATGGAACGATGAGCTGTACGAGTTATACGACGACAATGAAATAGTTCAGAGAATTAAGAGACGATGGCTACGCTGGCTGTTGCATGTCGCCCGAATGAATGAAAACACTCCAGTTCTGAAAGTATTCGTCGAAGTAGCCGCCGGGGGAAACAGAGTAAGAGGAAGCCCACCACAACGTTGGATAGATCCGATGGAGAAGGATCTGGCTGCACTTGGTATCTAGAAATGGCGCCAAATTGCGAAAAGGAGACACGACTGGCGCCCTATTGTTAATTCGTCTATAACCACGTAAGCGCTTCCTACGCCAATAAACAAGAAAAAGTACTTGAAATACAATATTTGAAGGAAATTATAATGATTGGGTCATTACGATTGGCCGAAAATGCATGCAGAGGATCTTAAGGGATCAAAGTATTCAAATTCAATTGTTCACCCATATCTCAAAGTTTTAATCCCCTAATTTATTGTTGTGGCGTTATTTGAAACATAGTTTACACCATGAAACGCTAAGTTAATTTGGTTTCTAAATACCTCAATATTAATAAAATACACACGTACTCTAGTATGTATTACGGTTATTGAAATGATTTCTCAACGAATTCATCATCTCGTCCCATTTTCTCTATCCAAGCAAAAAAGAGCTATCTAATACCATCCCCAGCTCATCATATTTCGATGCGTCGCTCAGCTAGATGAAAATCTGAAAGTCTGGGGCTTTCAATATACAGTGGACCAATAAAGTTTACATACACCTGGTTCTATAAAATTACGACGCGTTTATTTGTTTTAAAATGAATAAATTTTGTGTTTTTTTTCTATCCATATCAAGATACATACATTTAACAGTAAATATATGTAGCATACCAAAATATTTTTTTTTTTAAACAAATAAAAAAAAAAAATTAATGCTAAAGCTGAAATTGCGCCTAATTCATATCAAAAAAGTTTACTTACGCTAATGATTATTTATATAAATCAAAAGTAATTACAATAGTTTTAGCGGGGTTTGGCCCTTAATTTTGGCCCTTAATTTTGTTGCACTTAATGTCCCTTGACGTCGAGTATGCTCTCCACTCGATTTCTAGTATTATTTCCGGATATTTTGACCCATTAAGTCCATGATAGAGCTTTTTGGCCTTATTTTGATGAAATTCGATGTTTTCGAATACAATTTTCCAAAAAGTTCCAAATATTTTGTATAAGATTAATGTATGGTGACTGCGGGACCTATAGAGTTATTTTGAATTCCATAACAACTCTGCACG